TTAGAGCGTGATCCATTCATTTGATTCTACATTGATTCGTAACAAGCAACTCGCTCGGGATCGGCCAGTTGCTAATTTCGAGGCTCGAAACTGTTGCCTGTTTCGAGGCAATATGTATTATGTACATGTTCCATTCGCGAATTTTTACTAGTATTGAAAAGGGAAAGCATGTTATGTTCTGTCCTCGTCGAAAGAATAACATCGCTGCTCGACCGATTACTTTATAGTTTACCGCTACCGTCGGCGCGCTCGGGAACAAAGGCAAGCCGAATAGCATACCACCCTCGAAATAAGCAACTGGCCGGTCCCAAGCGTGTTGCTTGTTTCGAGGTAATACTGTACCTCCTTTAAAGAAGCATAAATAATACAAACATTTATTGAATTCGCGTTATCAATTAACTCTTAAACTCGTCCAAGTTGGCAGTCAAAGCGTAAAAGGTTAACGTGTAGGTACCAAGCCCATACGAAACTCGAGATTCGAGATTACCGAGTTCGCGGTTTTCGCCAAATTCGTATCATCTACTGTTCGCGTTTTCGCTCTACACGAAATGAATTTTAATGAAAGATTGTCGGTGTGAAGGCTACCATTCGTCCGATCTGCGAGATGCGAGCAGTTTTAGACGAATACCCGATACTCATATCGGTGAAAAATTAAATCGTCGCTCGAATTAGAGACGCAATAGATTCCGTCTATGTTTAAAAGTTAAAAGATTCGTTCGATATTCCAAGAATTTTCATCGCATTAAGAATATTAAGAATATTAAGAATCGCGCGCGTGCGACTAATTGTAAATCTTATTGTCCTTCACATTTCTTCAAATCGGTTCTAAAATTTTCCGCGAGTTTGTTTCGTTCGTGTGTCGTAGCTCTTTCGAAACGAACGTGTTTTGCGTCGAAAATCGCGAAACGATCTCCTCTGGCGCGGCTTCGGTACATATTTGTCAACGTGTTTTTCACAGCTAGGAAGGAGGCAGTATTCTCGAAAAACGAGGCAGTATTCTCGAAAAACGAGGCAGTATTCTCGAATCTTTCATCTTCAGATAATTTCTAATTCGGCAACGATGAAAGTTAACTCGAAAGCACCGCGAAACAGGATTACGATCATCTTCGTTGTCCTCGCGATTTCGCATTCACCGACAAAGTTCCCACGCGTTACACAGGAATATTTACAACGTCGAAGAGGACCTCGCCGAAAATCACGTACATAGCTCTTGGAACGTTTTCGTGTGAGGAACGTTTGCCCGATATCGCGAGGACCAAATATTGCTGACCGATCCATAAAACGCGTCAATATTTGTGGAGATATCGTAATCGTAGTTCCGCGTCTAGCCTTCTGTTCGATATCGTGTTACGGTAAAACGTGTCTGGAGGAAGTACATAAATTCATGCTACACACTGAAGTAACCTTTGCGATCGTCCGCGAAAGAAATTGGACAAAAACCTCTACTCGTTTTCCAACTATCTACGACTAGGCGAACGTTTCTCTTTGAACTCTGCAAAGTTAAAAAGGCAGAGATCAATCTGGCGCCTTGTAACCTTTTTCACGCGTTTGCCGGAAACTAAAAGTTGGCACGCGTGAAATGTCCAGGAGTCGCGTCGGTTATTGTTGCAGTGGTGATGGTTGCCTGAGGCAGAGGAGAACGTTTAATTGGAAGTCCTCTTCTTCCCTTGCTGCTCTTCCCCCAAGGCCATTGCAACGTGCGAATCAACGTGTTTCGGAAATCTTCCGAGAACCAACAGTAGATATAGAACGTGATGGAATAATTGATTACCTCCAAAAAGTTTGCTATTGCACGGAACACCTGAAAGACATCGATCCAACGAAGGTATTGAACGATAAATTAGCGTATGATAAAAAGTAAAAAGCGAGAAAAGCTCACCTGATAAGCGTAATTATTGAGATTACTCTCCCGTAAGGTGATGTTGAGAATTACCATGGGACTGACGCAAACGACGAATAAGATGTTAGTGCTGCCCAACAACAGGACCAGCCTCCGTTCCTCCGCGAACGTCCTCGAGTCCACGCCGTTGCTGGCAGTCCTGGCTAGAGTCGTTCGTCGGCGACGCTCGCAAGATCTTCTGTAGGCTACCATGATGCGGAGATTGAAGCCAGCCAATAGAATCGCTGGCACCACTTTGAAAATGATCTCCAGCACCACTTTGTACACCTGCGGAAAAACGTTCACGGACGAGTTAGAAATTCCTCGTCTTTTCACCGAGCGGTAAGATCGAAATGAAATAGCGTCAATGATACTTGATGAAACATCGAGTCGAGGTACAATTGGTTTTCCCTCTTTTGATAAACGACGGGGCCTCCAGGTTCGAGGAGACAGGTCGTAATTTGCGCTCGGAACGCGCTCGGCAGATAAACGATAAACGTTGCCAAGGAAATGACGGCCACCGTTAAATGTGGAGGACCGCAGAGTGGACGAGTGTGCTGACCAGGCCGGCAAACGCTAACGTAACGCTCCACGGTTAACGCCAGCAACATCATCACTCCGACTCCTGCAAAACATCATCGATTCTTTTGTTCCGCCAAGATCGTTTCCCTGCCGGAACTAACAATGGCAGTGCTCGGAGAACGACGAGTTGGAAAGCGAGTGCCACGGATGACACATCCCGTGTCGAGCGTGGGTAGTACCGATGAATCGCTTCTCGGGTGTCGACAGCGGTACTGCTCGCATTCATCGCAGCACCGGAAGAATCCGCGACCTCAACTTTCTCGCGAACCCTTATTTAATTATTTGAAACGCGTGCAGCTGTAACTTTCGCGTTCAAGGTTCGACCCCGATAAGTCGATTCGATCGAAGAAACCAAAGCGATCTTGGAAAGTTCGGACAGGTACTCGTTTCGATTCTTCGGGTCGATCAGCGAATGAAACGGGGAAGATGGAAGAAAACATAAATCATGAACGAGTTGGAACGTTGACGAAGGAAATGTTAAAGGAATGCGAGTGTCATACCTAAACAACCGTTTCCGAGGAAAAGCTCGAGATGAGCATGGTAAAAGGCTTGAGGCCAATTACTCCATTGGCCTGTTTCCTGGTGAATAAGAACCCTCAGCGCGAAAGGGATGCAGAAAAAAATCGCGAGAAGCGCCGCTGCCGAGTAACCTGGAACACAAGAGGGTAACAAAGTTAGCTCGTTTTCATAAAGCAGGAGCGGTGAATGGTGTATCGCCCGCAATACGCTTAATCTACCGTCTACGTACACAGCTATTTTATCTTAATACGTTTTTTCACGAGCGCGATAACGGTCTCGAACCACCTTTGCTAATTATCCGTCGCACCTTGATTTCCGAGAAAAAATACGCCTTTTGTTTCCTCTCGCGAAAATTACGAAGACCACCTTTCGAACGCGAAATTTCGATCGAAAGGAAAAGCATCGACATTTCGTACACAAGGATACATTTCATCGAGTTAATTTTCTACTTGCAAACCAAGTTAAATATTCAAGATACAACTTTATGGACCGTGGTAACGGTAGGTAGGTTCTCTAATGTCGATAAAGAAGATACCTTCTCCTGTACTAAATCGAGGTAGGTAACGTTCGTATTTCACACGACGACGGATAAACGAGACATTTACTGGTTTTACCGAAGATACTGTCATTTGCATCGTGGATCTAGAGAAGTATTCAAGGTGTGATAAACTGGTAACTAGCAACGGGGTAGTAACAATGCATTCTCGATTTCGACTCTGTCTCGAAATTGTTCGCCCACCAAAACTCAAGACATCATCTTAATTTTGTGTTGAGCGGTAACGTTTAATTCTGATTAAAAAACTTCGAGAAGATGAAAAAGGACGAAAACAAGCCGTTCGATTCCGCTTGCGAAGAACGTCGTCGGAGTATACCGATATATGTATATTCGAGTACGTAAATGCTTTTAACAAAATGCATCGATACTCGTTGCTTTCTTTGCTCTTCTGGTCGCATCGGTCATGGGAACGGATGCTGCGTGGACGAACCGAACGAATATTTATCGACCTAAGAAGCAACGCTCGGAATAAGAAATAAAACGTGCATCGAGGTGGACACGAGGTGTTTATAAGAAAGAGAAATTTTTCTCAATCCTCGGCGCACAGTAGCGATGTCCTGCTACTCGCTTCGTCTCGACGGACAAATTTAATTTGTCCTAGCCCAAAGAACGGAAAGAGCACGCTCGCTCCGTTATTTCACCGGGCGAATTCGCTTTTTGTTCGAAAAAAGATGGTATTTTTGTACGCGCAACGCCTAAGGCAAAGTTCGGTTGTTTCGGTTTGGAACGTCACGGATGCGCGATAAACGTCGCGTCGGTTCGTTTTAATCTAATTAGAATTTTTCGTCGATCGGTCGCGAACGACTAGATGAAATATGGTACGTACGATCGACGAAAACGTATTTGTTTCGCGTTTACCCGAAACGACGAGGGAAAAGCTGCGACGCGTACGATCGGCGTGTTCGATCCTCGTTTCACCGGGTTCTCCGCTTACCTACGCTTACTCGCTTCATCCCCTTTAAATTCGTTCGGATATCGCGTAAGCCGGTGCAATAGTCGCGAATTTCTAACCAGAAATCGGACTTTCGGATTTATTTCTTTTTATAACGAATAGACGATCGAAGCGTGAAAAGTGTGACGTAGTTTGTCGACAAACGTAGATCGTAATTAGGCGGCAGAGCGAAGGAGTTAGAAAGAATTCGCGACGCGCCTGACGCGCGTCAGCTTCGAAAACGAATTAATTCGCGCGTGTTCTCTCAACGCGTACCCCCGGGGAAATAACGGCTGAAGCTCGGCGACGTTCCGCATACCGTCGAGGAATCTTCGGCTCTCTTCAAAGTCGTGCTTTGACAGCGCAACGAGACGCGAGCATCTATTGAGAGTGTTTTTCTATATTTAAAATTAGTCAATTAATTATAACTTTCAAAAATAACTGATGTATTTAATTGATTTTAAAATATGAGATTTTGAATTTAGATTTGATTATAGAATGAATAACGAACGTTTTTCTTTTTAAAAATACAATTGAACATAAATAAAATTGAATATCAAACGCAAATAAAATTCTTCTTTGTCGACGACTTGAAAATAGAATTCCTCTTGACCGATGACGACTCCGATGATCACCACAATACTTCTCCCCGAGTGACGAGGTCGTCACGAAACTGACACGCTTCTTCTTCGCTGGACGCAGTCGACGTCCATAACACTAATCATCATCATCATCATCTTCTTCGCTGGAGGATAAGTCCGTAATTGAGATGAACTTTGAGGTCGAACAGATACTGGAATGGGTGGAGAGTCTGGAATGGGTGGGTGACTCTGCTCAGAGTGTCGAAACAAGCCTATTGCGGAATCTGAGGAAATAAACTTGGATTCATTGTGATTAGAAATTAAGAATGGAGGTTTCAATCTATCAACAGAAACATTAACAACGCGAAATCAATATTAATTAATTACGTATTAATTAATCACGTACAATATTAATTACGTATTATGAAAATAAAAATCGAAATAGTGAGGCAGGTTATGACTGTTCATGTGTTGTGTACAAATGAATTCCCCTTCCAAAGAGACGTTTCTTCGCAGTAAAGAATGAGTGTGTCATCAGAATGAATTGTGTCGTTGACGACAGTTCTGTATCGGCTATGGCCACGAAAGAATAAAATAAAGAAGTAAAATATTTTAAACGTGCTCACTTCGCAATAATTGATAGAAAAGTGAATGAAGAGCAAGATGTAACCGAGTGTCATATATGATTTTCAAACTTTGTCGTAGATTGGTGCTCCATAAAGATTGCTCTTTATTTTTTACTATTATTTTTATGATATCACTTCGTTAACTTATTAGTGTGTTAATTTCATTATTTGTTCGTTATAATTTCCTATTCGTTCAAAAGGAAATAATTATATATCATAGAAAAGATCGGGAAAATTGTTAAAAAAACATAAAACATAACTAATTTATTATATATTATTTCTGGAATTAATATTTTGTGTTTGCACATAATACATTTGAAAATAGAATATCATGATACGATTGCTATCATCTATTAGTTTTGATGCAAACTGTTTTTTAATGGTGGGCCCTTTTAGCGGTACCCTCTGGGGTGCCATATGTATGTACGTATAGCCAGACCTGAACCCAGTCAGCACCAAGCAGCGCGATATCCCAGCGGCCATGTTGTTATTCAAACGACTCGGATGTATTGAATTCTCCCAACCAAAACTTCTCTGCGAAGAAGTAATATTTCGACAGGATTTCTTTTGCATAGTATTCCCAGAAGTTTAATCTAGGTCGGTACGGAGGCCGATTTTGCAATTTCGTCCAAAACAATTTTATGAACTGAAAACTAACATTTCTTATAGAAGAAAATTTTTCGCGTCCCACTTTTACAAAAACGGCCTCCGTACCGACCTAGATTAAACTTCTGAGAGTAGTATGCAAAAGAAATTTTGTCGAAATATTACTTCTTCGCAGAGGAGTTTTGGTTGGGAGAATGTGTGTTTTGTCGTAGCATCCTATTTACCGTCCTTGTCTCTCCTAACCAAAAACACAGTTAGTAGACAGAGAACATTCGACGAACTTCACACCGCTCGATCTAGTGAATTTCATTACGCTTAATTCCCCACGTAGTGAACCTACACTACCAACTCCCCTATAGGGAATTCGCGCTTGCACGCCACACCTTGATCTGTGCGGAAGAAAAGATGGCGTCGGTTAGGTAGGACGGGTTTAGCCGAGCGCTGATAATTTAGAACTTTTTTTTTTGGATTTTAAAGTTTTTTATTAGTTATATAAGGCACAGAGAAAGGAGTGGAGGAAGGGGTGAGGTTTTGTATAATTAGTTTTGGAATAGGAAGTAGGGAGAGGAGGAACTTGGAGGTTTATCATCTCCCCCGTATACCAACGTGGTAGGCGGGGGATAAATTTTTTGTTGTGCGTGACTGGACGCTAAAAAACAAGTGTATAAGTGAGGGGGAGGTGTAATTAATATTTTTGGTGGCCTTTGTGGCGCATGAAATAATATGATGGAAGAAACGGAAGTAGATAATGTTGAGGACAAAATGTGCGAAAACGAAGAAATGATGCCAAAGGAAGTCTGTGATATAAAAGATATGTGTGAGAAAAGTGAAAAAGTGATGGTAGAAGATGTAGAGAAATTGGAGAATTGGGATATGGAATTTCTAAAAGAGGATGAAGAGGAGGTATTAGCTACATTGGGGCTGTGCAATAAGAAAATTGAGGAAATGGACAGAGAGGAAATAGAAGATTGTGTGAGGGAGAAAGTTAGAGACTTAGACGAAGAAAATAAGGAAAGGAAATTGACAAGGAGAAATATAGGAGAAAGGAAGAGGGTGAGAGATGCAAGCAGTGAAGAAGAAGAGTTGAGGAAAAAAGAGAAAAAAGAGTCGGAATTAGAGGATAGCAAAGAGGAGAGTGGAATTACAAAGGGGGGAGAAGAATGGCAGAGAGAAGAAAAGACGGAAACAGTGGGAATAGGGAATACAGGAGAGGAACGGAAACAGTTGGTAAAACTGGAGACGGTGGCGCCGCTCGATGAAGAGTGTGCGAAAACGGAAACGCTGAAGAAGGACGCGGAAATCGTCCATTTTGCCGGCGTGGGTGAGAGAAAGCGGACGGATAGCGATAAGTCTGAAGAAACTTTGGAAGAACAGCAGAGAAAAGTTGAAAAGGGTAAAGAAGAAGGTAAAGATATGCAGGGAAACAAGCCTAGTGTTGTAGATTCGAGAATGCTTAATGATAACGAAAAATATAATTTACAGAAGCCTGAATACAGAAGCATGAAGAAAAGATAGGTGCGAAAAGCACGTGGCGAAACACAGAGTCGAGTAGGAAAGGGAACGGAAGTGTGGAGGAAAGGAGGACAGAGCGTGGTGGGATTAGATACGAGGAGGATTTTTGTGGAAAAGAGTTTGTGGTAGGCCTTTTTTTAAAAAATAATAGCGTGAGAAAAAGTAAGAAATTGAATATGATAAAAATATATAGATACGTGCAAGGCACAGGGGCAAAGGTGGAAGGCATTAAAATGATTGGTTTTAGTAGGGCAGAAGTGACTTTCAAAAGAAGAGAGGAGGCAAATAAGGTCATGGAAGAGGGGCAGAAAAGAGAGGGGTATGTTGGAGCTTTCATCCCGGAAAAGATGAGATTTAGAAAAGGCGTCATTAGAGAGTGGCCGGGAACAATGGAGGAGTTGAAGAACGAAGCCATGCCGGGGCAGGGGCATTTCATACTGGAGAAACTGAGAAGAGGTCCAGTGATAGAGGGAAGAAGGGGAAGACAGGACGATGAAGAGGAGCCATTGTTAATAGTGTTTAAAGGAGATAAGTTGCCTACTACGCTATTGATCGGGCAGGGACACGTAGGAGTGAAGATATGGCCATATATTGAGAGAGTTAAGCAGTGTTATGTGTGCTGGAAATTTGGACATACACAGAAGTTTTGTAAATTGAGAAGACCGCTCTGTGGAAGATGTCGGGAAGAAAAACATGGGGTGTGCAAAAAAATTGAGAAATGTGTGAATTGCAAAGGAAATCATGAGGCCTTTGCGAAAAGCTGCTGGGTATACCAGAAGGAATTTGCCATAAAGAAGGTAATGGCGTACAAAAATGTGGCTTTTGAAACAGCAAGGAGCATTGTGGAAAGAGCAGTAGGAATAGAGGGGATAAGACTGGAGGATGATATGGGAGAAGTGAACGAAAGCAGGGATTTCCCGAGGCTGACTAAGAGGAAGGTGATAGAGATGTGGGAAGGAAAAGAGGTTCCAATGTGGGACGAGGTGGAAAATATTAGAAAAGGCTTTGCGAACGCTAAGGGAGTTAACCTAAAGGAGAGAGTTAAAATGGGAGTGAGGACCGAGGAAGGAAATAGTAAGGGGAAGAATATTGGACTAGGCAATGCGTCTGGATGGGCTGAGGTGGTAAGGAGAGGAGAAAGGAACGAGATGGATAGAGGAGCAAGGTGTGGAGAAAGGAGAGATGAGGTTGAAGGACAAGAAATAGAGGTTAGTAATAATTTCGAGGTCTTGCAGGAGGAAGGACAAGCGCGAGGTATGGAGGAAGTCGGGGTGAGAGGAGAAGGGGGTATCACTTGCAGGAGAAGGATACCGTTCCCGCATGACTTAGTGGGTGAGGAACCGGAAGGAAAAGCGGAATACGATGAATATAAAATTGTAACAGATGTGTGGAGACGAGAGAGGGAAAGGAAGGCAATTAGGGAGGCAAAGAAAATGGCTATGCAAGAAATTGAGGCAATGAAAAAGAAGGCGGATGACGAGTTAATTGAGGAATTGATTAAGCTTGTGGAGGAAAGAGGACTAAAAGTGGCCTTTGCTGAAGAAGTAAAGGCAAGAAAATACAGGGCTAGTAAAGAAGTAGCTCCAGATCCGGATGAGGACTGGAATGAGATAAGAACCCCGAATTTCTTAATGTATATTGACCCAAAGACTGAGGAGAGAACGAGAAGGAAGATCGCGAGAGAAAAGAAGAAGGTAGAGGAGAAAAGGTTGGAGCAGGAGAAATATGAGGAGATGGTGAGGAAGTATCTGTTTGGTAAAGGAGAGAAGAAGGAAGAGGTCCAGAAGGAGAAGGAGGAAGAAAAGGAAGAGTTAAGGACGGGTAATGGAAACATAAATGTTCCAGCAATGTGAAATATATGAGCAGGGAAGAATGGGAAGGGGAAGAAAGAGAGAAGTCAGGAAAGGAGGAAAAAGAGAAGTTATGGAAAGGGTATGAAGAGGTGGCGAGGAAATCTGTGAATAAATAAATAAATAGTGTGGTTAGAGAACTACAATATGACTCAGTGTAAGTGATAAAAAAGAAAGAAAAAAAAGAGAAAAGAGTGAGATATGTGGAATGGACCTGGTTTTAGAGACATTAAGGGTACGAAAACGGTATTGGTATGTGTGTGGTGTTATGGAGATGTTCAGAGGAAGATAAGGTTTTTTGTAAACGCTAAAGCGAAACGAAGTGAATTAGTTATGGTAGAGATATTGGTTGTGAGAAAATTAGTAATGTGTGTGATTGTTGCGATTGTGGGAAGTAGGAGGAGTAGGAAATGTTTGATGTTGGTTTGTTTAATGAAGATATGAGGATAGCGCTTTGGAATGCTAGGAGTGTGAGGAATAAAGTAGATGAAGTTAGGAGGGTGGGAGAGGATTATGATATGATGGCAATTGTTGAAAGTTGGCTGTGTCCTGAAGATTGTCTCAGGATAAATGGATGGCAGGCTAGGATTGGGGGTAGTAATAGTATTAATGAAGGTGGGATGGAAACCATGTCTGTGGTGGTTAGGATGAAAGAAGGAGAAGTGGAATTTGTGATAGGGTATAGAAGGCCATCTGGTAGAGGGGATAAGGGGATATGGAGGAAGGTTTTTGGGGGAGGGGTAATAGGAGAGAGAAGAGTATATCTTGGGGATTGGAATGCAAAGAATATGGTGTGGAATTGTGAGGAAAATGATGCGGCTGGAGAAGCGCTGGAGGAGGTGTTAGAAGAAAATGAGTTAGTGGTGCTGAATTACGGGACAATGTCAAGGATTGACAGGGCGGATCAGAGACCGTCAAATTTAGATTTGATAATTGCGAATGGGAATATAGGGATGAAAATGGAAATTGTTGAAACAGGGGAGACTATGGGGTCAGACCATCAGTTAAAAAGGATAGAATGGGAAGAGGAAATAATGGAGATGGGGGAGGAGGAAAGTACGAGAAGGTTTAGTAGTAGTAAAATTGATCAAGTTGAATTTTTGAAATGGCTTTTGGGGACAGAAGACCAGGTGAATAGGATAATGGGAGGGGAGAGGAATATAGACCAAAAATGTGACAGTTTTCCAAAATTGTTGCAAGAAGGGTTACAGGAATGTTCAAAGGGGCGGAGAGGAGAAGAAGATAGAAGGAGGAATGAGGCTAATGGGAGGAAAAGGGGGAGAAAGAATAGGAAAGGAAGAAGAAAGATTTGGTGGGATGCGGAATGTGAGAGAGTAAAAGAGGAGAGAAGAAAGGCTACGATAATAATGAGGAAGAAGCCAAATGAGGCAAATTGGAACAGAATGACAGAGGCAAATAAAAGAATGGAGGAAGTAGTAAAAGCTAAGAAAAAAGAATCTTGAGAGGAGTTTATAAAGGGAATTAGGCATAGTACTAACATAGGAATCTTATGGAAAAGGGTAAAAGCTTTGTTAAAGGGTATTGATAGGTCGGGTGGTGATGGAATGAACAAGAGTGAGAGGGTTAAATTAGAAAGTGAGGAGACTGATAGGATTATTAGGATGTGTGGAGTGGATGGAGAAGAGGATATCATAGTAACACAGGAGGATAGTGATGGAACGGAAAGAGAGGGGAAGGAGGTAAGGGAAAAGGATATTAGAAATAGGATAGGGGGTGTTATGGAGGGGAGATATAACAGAGAGTTTAGTGAGGGTGAGTTGGAAAGGGCAATTAGGGTTGTGAAATTGAAGACAGCCCCAGGAGAGGATGGGATTGAGTTTGGAATTATTAAAAAATTGACTAAAGGATGGAAAAAGAGTCTATTAGAGCTGTTTAATGAGGTGTGGAGAAATGGGAGGGTACCGACAAGATGGAAGGAAACAAGGGTTAGGCTAATCCTAAAGCCTCAAAAGAGGGCTTTGAGGCCGATTTCTTTGTTGAACTGTCTTGGGAAAATTATGGAAAAAATGGTTAATGAAAGGCTGAGAGGGAGGGTAAATTAGATAAAAATCAGAACGGGTTTAGGAAAGGAAGATCCACTATGGATAATATTAATATTCTAACGTGTAACATTAAGGAGGAATGGGGGAAAGGGAAAGAGGTGGTGGCTGCTTTTATTGATGTAAAGGCAGCATATGACACGGTAAATCGTAGAAGGTTAGGGGAATATCTAGAAGAAATGGGGTGTCCGAGGAAGTTGAGAGGGTATTTAGGAGATTGGATTAGGGATAGAGAGGTAAAGTTTATGAGATGTGATGGGGGAAGTAAAGCGATGAAACTGAGGAGAGGCTTGCCCCAAGGGTCGGTCTTAAGTCCATTGCTGTATAATTTGTATACTACAGGAATTGTTGTAGGAATAAGGGAGTTGGGAGTTAAGATCCTACAGTATGCGGACGACATAGTGGTATATGTGGAGTATGATATAAGAGAGGAGGGGGTAGAGAGGTTGGAAAAGGCTATAAAGATCTTGTGTGGTAATTTGGGGAGAAGGGGGTTGAAAGTGGCGGAGGAAAAAACCCAGATTGTAACATTTTGCAAGGGTACAAGGAGAGAATGGGTGGACGGAGGAAGGGTTAACGTTAATGGAGTGATAGTGGAGGAGTGCAGTAATGCAAAATTTCTAGGAATTATATTGGACAGTAAATTAAATTGTAGGGAACATACTAAGTATGTGACGGAAAGGGTTAAAATGAGGTTGAATTTGTTAAGATGCTTGGGGGGAGTGAGGAAGGGGGCTTGCCCCTTGACTCTGTTGAGGGTTTTTAAGGCATTGGTTAGATCCGTGATAGAATATGGTGCTCATTTGTTTTTGGAAGAAGGTAGGAATAGAGATAAAATACAAAAGGTACACAATGCGGGTATCAGGATTGCTATGGGATATAAGATGTCTACTCCTATTAATGTCATGGAAGTGGAGGCGGGAATTATGAAAATGGAGATGAGAGTGGATATGTTGGCAGAGAAATATGTTCTTAGGAAATATTTTAGGGATGACAGAGAGGTTTGTGCGGCGGTGGAAGGGATGATAAATTTTGGGATGGGGGAGAATAGTTTAAGTAGAAAAGGAATTTTGAGGAATGCATGGAATAATACAGTATTGATGAGAGAAGGTATGGAAAAAATGTTTATATCTAAGGAAAGGTGTTCATGGGATTGTGATTGGATGGAGAAAGGGGAAATGATGAAAAGTGAAGGGGTACCTGAAAACATTGGGTTAGGAGAAATAAAAAATAGATGGTTTGAGGATGAGAGAGAGGTAATAGAGGTATATACTGATGGATCTAAGATGGAGGATAGGGAACTTGGAGGGGCGGCAGTCGTGATTAAAAGGGGAAGAGAGGAATGGGAGGATTTTGGATTTACTACAAGAGGGAGCTGCTCGATTTTCACGATTGAGGCTTTTGCAATATGCATGGCTTTAAGAGTGATAGACGAGTATGAGAAGGAGAGTAATGTAGTGATATTCTCAGATTCATTGAGTGTGATAATGAAGGTGAAGAACGTCACGAATGGGGAGGAGGAGGGTGAAGTGATAGGAGAGATTAGAGAGAGATTGTGGAAAAGGAATGAGAAGAATAATGAGGGGGAGGTAGGAAAGGTATGTCTGGCCTGGATTCCTGCTCACATTGGAATAAAGGGAAATGAAAGGGCAGATAGGATTGCTAAGGCATGTACGATGGGAGAGGCGGATGGAGATATGAAGTGGTCGTTTAAAGATGTTTGTAGGATAATTAGAGAAAGGAATTGGAAGAGAAAGAGATCTGTAGAAGAGAATCTAAGACAGGGGGAGTATAAGGGAAGGAAATATTTTGAGGCGGAGTGGAATAATGTGGGGAATAGGACACCGTGGTTTGTAAGTGTGGGTAATCTAGAGAGGAGGACGATATGTGCTTTGAGTAGGATGAGGGCCGACCATTATAATTTAGGGTGGTCGCTGTTCAGAAAAAATTTAAAGGGATCACCTGCATGTGAATGTGGGGATCAGTGTGAGGATTTGGAGCATGTGATGTGGGTATGCGAGAGATTTGAGAGAGAGAGAGTAGGTTTTAGGGATAGAATAATAAGGAATGGAGTGAGAATCGGAGCTGTGATGCACGAAACCAAAGAAATGGGGGAAGCAAAGGTCCTAAGATTAATAGGGGCCTTTATTAGAAAGTGCAAATTAGAAATGTAAGGGGTAGGTTGGAGTTTGAGACTGATGTCCATAATAGGGTGATAAGTGATATTCTATAGATAAGGTATTACTGTTGTCGAGAATGTTTGAAAGTTTATATTTTATATTTTATATATGATGTTTAAGCTCAGATACATGTTATATGTCCTTTTATATATATTACCATATGCTTTTGTACTTATGTACTTATATAGACTTTGTATTTTGTATTCAATATTTTACTATCTTATATTTTTATATTCAGATATTCATAATTATATAAGTGACGCTGCACATGCGAGTGCATAGACTAAGGTTTTGGAAGAGTGAGGAGTGGGACTGTAAGAGAGTTAAGTGAAGTTGGAAGCAAGAGAGGGTGGATGATTGGTGTATGACAGACAGAGGGAGCGAGTAGTGTGAAGTAACAGAAGCGGATAGGTTAGGTTAAGTTTGAATATATGTAAGATGGACTACGTTTCCATCGAGGGTCCAAATCGGGTCAGAGTCGGGTTAGAGTCGGGTTGGGGTCAGCGCTTGTACGATGGAAACGCCAAAGGTTTAGTTGAACTCTACCCTACAAAATTGTAGGGTAGCGTTCAGTTGAGGTTCGGTGGAAACGACAAGAGTCGAGTTCGTATTGCCAACATAACAAATCCAAATTGCATTGTGCAGCACGTGCTGTATTAATCGGTGTAGAAGAGGTTATTATTACTTTTTGTCGGTGATCTTGTAATCTGAGAAATAATTTTTGTATGTTATTTTGATATTGTAAAATTAATTTTGCTCAGCTTTACATGTCACAATATGGCAGTTGATTTTGTGCAGTTGGTAATGTTCAACCCAACTCCAACCCCAACGTAACCACAGTATAAGAAAGCACAGTAGGCTCACTCCGTTACAACACCATTTTGCTTCACATTTTATATATATATTTATTTATTTATTTAAAAAAGTAGGTGATAAAAATAACGAGCATATGTGCTATTACCAGCTATTCACAACCGCCATGTTGCTGGTTGTGCGATTCGGTCATGCGCGAGTGACAACTTTTGGGCAGAGTGAGCCTACTGTGCTTTCTTATACTGTGACGTAACTCTGATCCGATGGAAACAGACAAGGCAAAAAAATTTTTTACAAATCGATGCCGCGGGCGCCCGCCGACCTTGCTGCGGCACCATCGTTTCGCCACGCGTGCCAGAAAACGAATTTTGCCTCGTCTCGTGAAAAGAAAGATACATTGGAGAGACAAGGATCTATCTATCCTTGTCTATAGCTTTCCAGTTCGCCACCAGAGGTCCCCATTATCGGATTTTGGCTTTCTTGAAAATCATGGCATTACGCTTAACTCTAACCCGACTCTGACCCGATTTGGACCCTCGATGGAAACGTAGTCATGTATGTATGGGCCAATTGGGAGGAAACCTCCCAAGCGCCCTCTCGTAAGAGAAAATAAAGAACAGAACCTTGATCTGTGGTAACTATACCAGGACTACCAAAACAACAAATCCAATGTCGGTAGAAAGCCGTGGCTACTAAATCTGCTGCTGTTGCTTCTTTTAAAGGTATAGCTTCAGGCCAACAAGAATATCTGTCAATCATAGTCAAAATATATTGAAAACCTTGAGATGGAGGAAGAGGACCAACCAAATCTAAATGCACATGATAAAATCTTTCATCAGGAACAGGTATGACTGTAGGTTGACGCTTCGTATGTTAATCGACTTTAGCAAGTTGACATGATAAACAAGTCTTAACATGATTAGTGATATCTTTTTTCATATGTGACCAAACAAACTTTTTTCCAATTAGCTGGCAAGTTGCTTTAGCACCAGGATGAGATAAATTATGAACCATATTGAAAATCCTTGAACGAAGAGAAACAGGAACATAAGGTCTAGCAATTCCTGTTGAAATGTCACAGAAAATAGTTGTGTCAGAATTATCAATACGCAATTGCCGTAGTTGAAGTGACGTAGAAGACTGAAGAAGTTGCTGCAATTCAGAATCTTCCTGTTGTTTTTCAGCTAATTCCTGAGTATCAACGATAACTGGTAAATTAAATTCCTCCAAACGAGAAAAGGCATCTGCCACAATATTGCTGCTACCTGATACATGTTCAATATTTGTAGAAAATTGTGCCACAAAATCAAGTTGACGTTGTTGTCAAGGAGATGCTTTATCAGAACGTTTGTTGAAAGCATAAATAAGCGGTTTATGATCAGTGAGAATCTTGAAATGACGACCTTCAAGAAAATGTCAAAAGTGCCTTATAGCATTATAGATTGCCAATAATTCACGGTCATAAGCGCTGTACCT